ATAGTTGTATTAATTTCATTCAACATTTGTTTTGCACTTTTAAATGTTGGAAGGGAAGTATTAAATTGTTTATTACTTATCGAAAAAATGGTTTGTTTATTGTAAAGAAAACTATGAAGATACAGTAAAAAAAATTAATAAGCATTAGGATCCGTGAGGATAAATCAGTTATTCCACGTATTTGTCGTCGACATCATAATACATCATAGATTAGCCTTTGATATCATGCATAATATCCCCGGCTGCCCATGATGTATTATGATATCTATAATAAAATGTGGAATAACTATTACATATTTCACAATAGGCAAAAAATTTCTTTTAAAAATTTTATGTACATATGTATATATTTATCTGCTACATACTATACCAAACTTGATATTACAATAAGCAATATATATTTATTGTTTAGAAATTTAATTTTTAATACTATAGATAAGTAATATTTTGATCTTAATAGAGTTATGTCTACTAGAATTGTACTTAATTCGCTTTTCATAGTAGAATTTGAGATGCATTGCTCTTAAAAATAGACTTTGTAGTTTCTTATTTTAGACCAATATTTAGCCTCCTATAAATCCTCAATTCTATATGATATGCTCTGTTAGCAATTCCTATCTCGGTAAATTTTTGATAATTAATATAATAAATAAATAAATATATATGTTGTGCCTCAGATTAATTCTTGCCTCAGATGTCAATCGGTCTAAATTAGGGTTAGAGTTGGGGTAAGGATTAGGTTGTAGTTTAGGCCAATTAATGTCGATCAGTTAATACCGGCCAAATGATCAATACCTGAGGTGCCTCAGTTATCACCTGAGGCAAAAATCGATCTGAGGCACAACATATATATATATATATAATTTAAAAAAAAACCAGTTTAAAGTAACAATATTTAAATGATAACTATAAATAATATAAGTTTAAAAGCAATCTGGTTTATTGAATGATAACTAGCAATTAAATAATGCTTTTTTTTTAAAGCAACAGATTTGAAAGATGACTAGTGATTAAATCAGGATTTTTTGTTTATATATTAATTTAATAAATATTAAGTAATATTAGCTATGCTATACCAAGAGCATTCAAATTATTTAAACAATCTTAGAATTCTATTATATTAAAATATGCTAGTTAAACTTTAGTAGTGACCCAAGGTCTAATTGCTGCAAGGAATAATTCTATTTGCTGTAAATATAATTATATTAACTGTCATATAATTAAGATCTTTTACTTCATTAATCACATCTTTGTCCAAAAGATTTTCTTGGACAAAGAGGTTAAAAGCTGATTGTATAAACTTGGTGAATTTAATGATATTTTCAGGCTGTTTCTGAATGTCTTTTCTACATCTAAAATATCCATATAACGGTTTAAAAATGCTTCACAGTTATTTTCCATTATGTATTCAGAAATTTGCTGCATTTCTGGTTGCCTTGTCTTATTCAATCTAAAAAACAATTTTAGTTTTCTTTCTATTTTAGATAAGCACTAACTATTATTTATAAAAACTTACTTGTATTTCCTAACAAATTCAAGAACTAAATTTCTAAGTTCTTTTCTTAAATATGCATTGTAATCCTAAAAGCAATCAAAGGCCTATTTTTGCAATATAGTATATTCTGATGCACTGGTTTGAATATTTTTAAATAAAGATCTAACCAGTCATCAATAATAGGTTTATTTATAGTTCGAGTACAAAAAAATAGGCCTTTAAGATGCATTTGGAGAGTCCTGAGGTTCTATTTTAATAAAATATTAATTAATTGAACTAATAAAATTATTTAAATTTATATTCAAACTTACTCTTTCTGATAATATATTGAACTTGTTATCTTTTTCTTTGATAACTATAGAATCTTGCCTGCCTGCCTCTATTATACTCATTGTTAACTTAATGAAATTGGGATGTTGTATGAGATATAGACAAAGCTCCAAATCAGTTTTAAAAGGGTTTATAAAAGAAGTTGAGAAATTATTGATTTTGTTTGATGTTAATGGGTGCTGGCTATTAGTATCTTCAAAGAGTAGTTGATTAAAAGAGATGAGGTGATATTGGATAATGGTGATTGTTCACTATAAATACTTTTAGTAGAATCACTTCTATCTGAAAAAGATGAAGCTTTAGATGCAATTAGCCATTTATTATAAGACAAAGGGCTTCTAATTAATGAGAATGATGATGAAGCTTTTGATATTTGTTCTATTCACTGTATGATATTTTTAGATAGCAGGTTATCTCTAATTAAAGCAGATGGAGTGCTTGATGGTTAAATTATTTTTAAATTATATAATATATTAATATTATTTTTGTACTGTAAAATGCATAAATAAAATTATACTATTATTAATATTAATCCAATTTGGTTTGATTTTTATTCTCTTTGTCATGTTAGTGCAATTGGAAGATTTTTTTCTTTATCATTATTTGCTATAACTTTTATATTCATAGCTTGTAACTCATGATCTTCAGCTGAAATATTTGTTTCAACTGGTCTTAGAGAAGGCTCATCGTTAGGTTTTTCATATTCTCTTCTCTTTTTTATGTTAGTACAATTTGAAACTTTTTTTCTTTTATTTACTGTAACTTCTACATTTGTAGCATGTCACTTATCTTCAGCCAAATTATTTGTTTTATTTGACCTTGAAGCTAACAATTATATTAAATAATAAAGCAAGTTCTTATCATCATTTTTTTTCTTAGCAGCTTTTCATGTTTTAGCCATTTTTGAGTCTAAAATTATAATTAGATTAAAATTGTGTCTTTCTCTTGCTAACTTTGATCAATATTATTACCTTTGCTATTAATTTTACTTTGACAAGTTTGTATCTTGATTTCAAATAAAAAAAAATCAATCTTTTTAATCAACTTTTCTTCTTTTATTGTAATTTTACTATTACATACATATTATCGTTATTACATAATAACAATGCATCAATTAATTTATTACAAATATAGAAAATATATATGAATTTTAAGATTTGCATAAATTAAAATTATGACTCTGAGCCCAGAAAAGGTAATATATTGATTACTTATATGTATCTTCGATTTTTTCTTCAAAATTGTAATCTAAAACTGTAGAGATTTTTTAGGTCTATAGTAAAGTCATTATCTAGTTTCACATGCAGTTATAGGTTCTATCAAATCAGTATTTCTCTTATTTAGTAGGACATCAAGTCTTCATACATTCTTTAAATTCAATAAGTCAAATCTTTAAAAATGTAATTTAATTAATTATATTTTTATGAGGTCAAATCAGATGATTATGGGATATTTTATATAAGAAAAATTTTAACATATTTTAATTGTTATTTCATGAATTACACACTAATATCTTTTATTATCATCTTTAGTATTATCTATCTTGATAATGATAACAAGACTAAGCAATTAATCAAGAGCAAATTTATTAATACTACCAAGTGCGTACGTATATAATACACTAAATTGTAACAACAAAGTAACAAGACCAATTTGTATATACAAGATACTGCGGCAATGACTTGTTGATAATCATTTAGAAGTCAAGGTTTCTAAATCAAGTCTAAAAATTTCATTAAGGTAAAAAATTTAAATTTTTATATATTACCATAAAATAAAGTTGTTACTTTATCTATATGATTGTTTTTAAATTTTTCTAGCTCCTCATAATGAATTAAACAATTTTAAATTCTGTTTTAAGTAGTTTTTATCATCCATCATTTTCACAGACCTTATGTCTATGACTTTGGTACATATCCTTTTCAGTTCTTTCAGTTTTTTTTTATATATACATCTTTACTAAATTTATTTTTCACTGAATTCATATATGCTATCGAATGGATCTTCTAATTCTATAACTCTGCTATCACGAATTGCTTTTCAATGACAACATCCTCATATTTACTAGATGACCTTTACCTTACTATTCAGCATTCTAGCTATCTACGATTTGTCGATATATCATATCATCAAATTTAACAGATCTTTTTACTAGCTCTTTCATTACACATTTCTTCAAGATATGTCTTATTATTGTTTTTCATTAGCTTGACATTCCGTACTTTATACTCATCACTTTTATCATCCTTTAAATCATCATTTTAGATTCAACATAGACTAAAAATAGCTTACCTTCTAATATTCATAATACAAATATAGTCCATAAATGCTTCAAATTATCCTTTGTAATACTCTTAATCATTTTCTTAATCAATAATGCTAATTAATTTCTGTTTTCGATACTTTTTTGTTTTATTGACTCAGGTATATATGATTTTTTTACTGACTTTATTCACTATTAAATCAACCTATGCTAACAATATTTTTTCCTATTTCGAATCACTTATTAAATTTTGATCACAAATTTTAAATATAATTGCCACTGGAACACACTCTGAATTTCAACAAAGATAATATTATCTCCAAATAACATATTGTTACAAAAAATATCATGACTTTGTAAATAAGCTTTTTATATAATTTGATAGTTTAATATAGTTATAAAGTTTACTTTAATTAGACTTTATATTGTTATATTATATTTGTGTTAATAGTATATAGTCAATTTTAGTCTAATAACATATATATATGTAGAATTATTCTTTGTAAATAGAAGTTAAGAGTTTAGAAAATATTTCTTTGTTTTAGTTGGAATAAAGGATATTTTAAAAAACTTTTAGTATACTAGATACACTTGATAGGAAGATACCTACTTATATCACTCATATTTCTTTGCACTTTTAGTATTTAGTATATAATAATAACTAATTGGTTTCTTTATTTTAATGCTTATGACCAGAGTTGAATTGGCAGTATAGTTATAAAATTTCTCCTTTGTCATAACAACACCTAAATATATATATTACAGCTATTATCAAGCACCTCTCTTAATGTAATTGCTTAGTGATTGGGGTTGCATTCAAATACTATAGTAATTAATACCTGAGCTATTCCTTTCAATTGATTTTATTATAGATACAAGAAAAAAAAGTGATTATCTAGTTATCTAATAATTTAGCTCCCATGCGCTTTCTGCATCTGTTCTCTTAACAATTTACTCATTGCAACAACAACCATATTTGGCTACATTAAAATATACTAGTACAGCACTACTTTACAGAAACATGTAAAAAATTAATATTGAGTTTATAACTAGCAAATTATATTTTCAAAATATAGTTAAAATATTTTTTTTAAAAAATTAGTTTATTATAGATTTATAACTAGTAGTTATAATATTATAATAATGTTTTTCTAAAAAAATATTATTAAAACATTATAATTATTAGTTAATGACTAGTTAAAAACTAGTAATTATAATGTTATAATAATGTGTTTTTAAAAACATTATTATAACATTATAATTACTAGTAAATAACTAGTTTTTAACTAGTTATTAACTAATAATCATATTGTTTTAATAATATTTTTTTAAAAATATATTATTATAATATTATAACTACTAGTTATAAATCTATAATAAACTAATTTTCTAAAAAAATATTTTAACTATATTTTTAAAATATAATTTGCTAGTTATAAACCCAACATCAATTTTTAAAAGTTTCTGTATAGTATAAGAAAATTTTGATAGTTATGGCTCTATATTTTTTTGACCAATGTGATGTTTATAGTTGATTTTTTCAACCAATCAAATCATTCAATAAACTCATTGAGGTAGCTGCTTGAGAAGAATAGATTAGTTGCACAACCAATTTTAGCAGATTAGCAAAAATTTAGAGTCAAAATAGGCCAAAGATAGACTGGTATTAAGTGTAATACTACTATAATATACTAAGAATGTAGTAATAAAATTACAAAATATATAGTTATCAAACAAATAGAATAGCAAGTGTGCAAATCTGATGTTTTAATTAGTTGTGATCACAGATATAAAATGTTGTATCAATATGTATATATATAACAGATAAAGATATAGTATTTAAAATAACATCGTATTTGTTTTTTTATTACCTTTGTTAAATTGATTTATGTAAATGTTGTAATGTTAGATGATGACCAAATAATTCACTAAGATAATCAATGAAGAACTCCCTGAAAAAGTCAAAAAATAAATACTTTAAGATTTATACTTACCAAGTATAAATTTTTTAATATGCTGATTTGTTAATTTGCGAAATTTACTAGCTGATTTTGGCTAGCATTTTTGTTTCTAACGAATAGTGGCCTTGGTGTATATGTAATTTACTATATTTCATAATATAGGTCTTCAAGACAAAAACTCTATATTATATATTCCTGGTTTAAGCATGACTGCATCATATAGCTACCTTAATTAGCTAACTATACTATATACTGTATATTAATTGAATTTTTTAAACTAAGTTTATTAATAAAGCAAGATTGTTTTTT